CCCCCCCCCCAATGTGTGTGTGAGTTGTGTGTTTGATACGTTGTGTGTCTTGTTCACTGAATTCTGTTTATTTTCGTAACTGTTTTGGAATTTTGGTCCGCAAAGTGTTCTTCGTTTTTGTGTGCTGAATCCAACCGTATAAAGAACGTGAATTTTGGACAAACGGTTGGAAAGTTATAAGTCAAAAACTGGACAGAGGTCGAAACTGAAAAACAGAGTTTCGACTTTGTACTAAAATGACCGGTCGCCCTGTTCATACGACTGGTCCCCAATCACTGTTCATGACCGGCCGCACTGTTTTTTTTCACTGTTCACGGTACTGTTCACAGGTGATAAATAGGTGATAAAAGGGTGATAGAAAGTGCTGTTTCTGTTTTTCTTTGGTTTCTTGTGTTGTTTCATTTCTTTTACATTTCTTTACTCATTTTTAGTTTCCAATTTGCATTTGTGCATTTGTGGTGTGTTAAATTAGTATTCTTTACGTACTCAAACTAGAACTTATAGGAAGCCGACAAGTTCTTCGTGGGATCGACTCCGTACTTACATAATCTTTACTTCGATAGATTCGTGCACTTGCGGGTATTTTTAATTGGTTGTTTGCACATTAATTTGTGTCCTTTTAGGAATGCAACAGTGAGCTGGCGAGGCGAAGAACAGGTTGATTTTGAGGCGAGTGCAGAACTGCCTGAAGAGCTCCGAATCGAACTGTCTACCGTTATCAGTGATGATGGCGTATGGGATGCCGAAGCGGCAACAGATATTGGTCCAGACAAATTCTTCGACCCTCGCTGCCGTTATGGTGGTTAGGGCTTCAGCCGCAACCCATTTCGTGAAGTAGTCCACGGCAACGATCGCATATTTGACCTGTCCTTTGCCTTGCGGCATTGGTCTGATTAGGTCAAGTCCCCATTGGGCAAACGGCCAAGGACTTACGATTGGCGTGAGGGGTTCGGCAGGCAGGTGCGGGATATTGCCGAACCGTTGGCACTTGTCGCACTTTTTTACCATCGCGATTGCATCCCTGTGCATGGATGGCCAATAGTAGCCCTGCCGAAAGGCCTTGTGGGCTGTTGTGTAAATACAGCTGCACCAAAATGATTCAGTTGCATCCTCAACTTGTGATACTCGCAAGTGCACGAGCCGTTTGGTAGTATAGCATATGTAAGTGCGAGGTCGATCCCACGAGGATTGGTGATTGAATGATCCAATTTAGTTTCCCTACACAAAACAGAAATGAAAAAGAAAGGAAATAAATAAAACAAGGAAGAAAGAAATAACTAACTCAAGCAGATAAGTTCCCAAGTTCAATTAGATTAATGGATTGATTCTAGCTAAAGTATGATTAAGCCATGGTGTGTGGTCATAACCTTGTGTTCCTAATTCCCTAATTTGATCATTTGTTGTCTAACCTAAAATTAAGCATTAGGAACCCATTAAGCATAGAAGAACAATTTAAACAACCAAGCATGTATCTAATCCCTGTTGTCGAATGTCCATACATACTCTTCCTATTCATAGTTCAATTCGAATTAAAGCATGGCGTCTACTCTTAATTCAAACCAAGATAGCTAACATGCAAGCCTAAATGATGATCAATCATTCAAACTAGCATATTAACTTATAAGCATAATGAAACTTGGAAACTAATTAAACTTGAAAACTTAAGAAAAGAATTTACATAACAAAGAAAAATAAATTACAACTAAGAAAACATTAAAGAAAGCTAGAACTGAGAACTAGAAAG